GAGAGAGAGAGACAGACAGACAGAGAGAGAGACAGAGAGACAGAGAGACAGAGAGAGAGAGAGACAGAGAGAGAGAAATAGAGAGAGAGAGACAAGAAGATATCATCATCACATAAATATATACATATCATATAACACTGTGTTAAACAATAGAACACTGTGTTAAACGTCCCTCTCTGTCTAAGATAGCTACTTTTCTCCTGTCTTAGACAATATGTGAGGCAGCGTGGTGGAATCAGGCTCTCGTCAAAATAATCCAAGAGACGAAACTTGCATTTTTCTGCAGGTTTGTGAATTTTTATCAAATTTTTGTTTTTTGGCTCAACACCTTTCATGCCCATTAAAGAACTCATTTCTGTGTGGATTTTTCTGAAAAGCGTTGATTAAAGACACAAAAATGACATTTTTTAAGTTACCACGGACTCTTGAGCTAAGGAAATAGTTAATCTTTGGCGGCCATTTTCTCTCTAATTTTACTTCTGAAAACAGGTGACCCCCACTTCCTTCTTTCGCAAATATCTCAACTTGTATTCAAGATAAATGAATTTTTTTTCATCCAAATAAAGACAAGTGAAAAAGCTTTAAGATGATACCAATAACTCTACATGCCCAGAAAGGGAAGAGAGCCTGATTCCACCACGTTGCCTCACATTTGGACAGTACGGTATTGGTTACACTCATTATCCCACTTCAAAAGGACGTGAATCTTTATCTTGAAGACATTGCGCTAAAACAGTCAAAAGGAGCCCTACTGATCCACGATTACTCGACATTTCGACATAAATTTGCTTTTCCAATCACTGAAAATAGAGCTGAATCACCAACGATCACGTACCTGGAAATTTTTCTGGGCTAGTAAATTCTTGACCTGGCCCATGATGGCTTTGCAAGTTTTGCACGAAGCATCGGAAGGACCATCAAGATATTGCTGTGGACGGGGGAACAATAAGGCGGGAAATGGGAAGGGAACAAGAATAATAATAATAATAATAATAATAATAATAATGATAATAATAATAATAATAATAATGAT